TTATTTGGCAATATAAAATGCATAATGCCAAATGCATAAAAATATTTATGTATGCATACATTATCAAATTTAACAAAAATGAAGTCTAGGCCGATTTTTTATGAAGCAACAAATTTCAATATTTAATATTTAAAAAATTAAAAATTAAAAAAAAAAAAAAACAAAATATTAATTAAAACATGTATTAAAAAATAATTTAATTTTTAAAATCTGTTCAAAATATGAATTATATAAATAGGTTTTTTTTTTTTTTTAATATTTTGTGTTGTTTAAATATATGCAAGAAATTCGTGATGCAATTTTTTCGAGGAAAATTTATTCACTTATGCATATGCTTACACATTGGCATGAACAATTTAGAATTGTATATATGTATGTATATTACAATGAATAAATATAATTTTCAGAAGTTTTTTTTTTTGGGGAATTAACCTATTTACATTAGTTACATTTCCAATGCCACATATAAAGATAACAGACTTACTTATGTATGCAGGTAAATACATGCATATTAAATATACACACACATATTTATATATGTATGTATTTGCCGTGTTTTACAAACAACTTTTTTTGGCAAATATTTGTCATATTTACCCAAAAAGTATGTCACGTTTTATTTGCTTTTTCATTGTGCGCTGTTAAAGTTCTGTTCCATATAGAGATATGTATATAAGGAAAACAAGGTGTGTGAGTAGAAGTCAACTTTTAGTTATTTAATTTTTAATTGTATCAATATTTGCCAACATAAATTTCCATTGTCCCGATAGACGCACATGTGTACACTCACACATACGCATACACTTACATACATATGTATCAATTAAGTGGGGCAGCTAAGAGCATTTGCAGCGCTCTTTAATTAATTTTCGCTAATACCAGCTTAAAGAGACCCTATAAAACCTGAAAGCCTTTTTGCAGATTGATGTGGCTGGCTAACGGTAACGTTGTCATACATATATTCAACATGTGTATATATGTATGTATGCATGTACTTAATGCAAGTGTATAGAGATATTCTGCTTATCCACATTCAAAAGCACGCACAGACATTTATAGCTCAAGCAAAGCCGATAAAGATAAAGATTTACTGTCAAACGCATGTGTTTGTCAGTGTGTGTCGTCATGTGTCTGCTTGCTTGCGTGTTTGTGTGAGTGTGTCTTCACTTCTTTATTTTTGCCGTTCACACAGCGCTTCGTAATGCACAGAGAACATTACAGCTTTAAAGCGCTTTAAGCGATGCTCAAACAAAACATACCAGCACACACACACACACAGACGCACAAAAAAACTCATCGACGTCGTTGTCATCGCCGCAGTCACTACACTCGCCTGCCTCCCACCACACCACACCACTCCTCGTGCACTGTCACAGTCAGCCCGCTGGTGACGTCACACATTTGAAAATAATCAAAATGAAAAGAAGAAGAAAGACGGCAGAAAAAGAAATAAAAACACAAACAACAAAAACAGTCTGTTGCACTGAGCGCCGCTGCATTAGGCGGGCAGGCTGGCAGGCAAAGAGCGCGGCAGTAAGAGAGCGCAAGTGCATGCGCACGATTAAGAGCGCATTGAATTGCTTCAGAACAAAGAGAGCGTTGCTAAAGAGCAGCACTTTCTTTTCAATATGTTTTTGTTATTTCACTCGCACACTCACGAGCATGAGAATCAGTTGGACTGTCTGTGTTTGTGTGTGTGAGTGTTGTATGATTTGTATTATGGTGTGTGATACTGCCGTGTTGGAAAAGTTCATTGACACTTGAAAAACATTTCATACACAAACGCACACACACATGCACTCAGACGTCTCTTACTCATTCGCTCTGACGCTCATCAACTGTCACACATTTCTCCCAATGCAGCAGCAGCGCAGCAAAACGACTTCAGCGGCTTGGCACATTTTTGTATAGCGACGGCGACGTTGACTGTCTGCCGCGTCGCAGCCACTGCTGACGTCGTCTGTGTTTGTCTGCTTTCGGTTCAGCGCGCATCTTTCATCCTCGTGGGTAAATACGCAAAGCGCTAGATTACACAATATGCGTTGCGAGCAGCGGCAGCAACAGCAGCCGCAGCAGCGCAGCAGCGCAATGGCAGCGACAGGGGCAGCGACAGCAAAAGCAATTGAATGCGGATTCGGTTGTTTAGGCAAGCGAGGGGGGTTAGGCGCGCTGTGCGGGTGCTGGTTGTAATCAACCCAGTCTGCAGCATCAAAGCGCTGCGTAGAACCAGTTCTCTTTTGTGCGTGCATGCGTATGCGTGTAAGTGCATGTGTGTATGTGCGTGTGTGTGAATTTGGCTGCAGTTGATCAACGGTTTATGTATGTACGTCTGCTGTTCTCTCTGTTCGCTGCTAAAGAAATTACATCATCGCTGTTGTAAAGGATTGTTGCATGCTGCGAGGGAATCCCAACAGCTGTCGCTGTCTGCCTCGCACTCGCATACACACAGACGCACATACACACATTGAGGAACACTCAATTTACTTAAAGTGAACCAGCTTGAGCCATTGTCTAGGCAGAACAAGTGGCTGAGAGTGCCCTATTGTGCACTGAGGGAAATAAGTGTGAGCATTTTGGAATTGTAATGGGAAATTATTTAAAAATATAATATATACAATTTTACACTAAAAATACTTAAAAGAATAAGAATAATAATAATAATAATAATAATAATAATAATAATAATAATAATAATAATAATAATAATAAAATGTAAATAAATAGACGAAAAAATAAAATATTAATGCATAAAATAATAAAATATAATAAAATATATAGCATAAAACATAAAATACAAAATATTTTTAAAAGACATATATTTTAAAATAAAAAAAAAATAAAATAAAAAAAGAGTAATATCATTAAGTATTTAAAAAATAATATTCCATCATTAGAATGATATATATTTGTTCCATAGTTTTTTTTATTTGGGTGTAAACAGTTTTTTTTTAAACATTAACATTTTTATTTTATTGTTCCCATTTCTTTTTATTTTTAACTTCCACTTGAAAATTTTTTTATCCGCGTTCGCCTTGATTTCTCTCAGTGTCTGAATTTTTATTGCGTAATAAGTACTCAGCTCTTCAGCTCGCTCAGCATTGTTGTGCCACGACAATGGGGCAGCCCACTAAGCCCTAGTTAATACTCCTAATGCCGCATTGTGGCAAATGCCGCCTGCCAACACGAGAACTTCAATTTGCATTGCTCTGGATTGGGCCAAAAGGCCATATGGCCGCAGTTAATGGGTCTACGTCTACGTCTACGGGCCGACAATAGACAAACGGACAAACGGACAGACGAACAAGCAACAGCAAGTAGCACCAGCAGCAGCAGCAGCAGCAGCAGCAGCAGGCGGAACAAAGTATTGCTGCAACTAGCAACACAATTGAATCGCCTTTGAAATGCCTCAAAGCAATTTCTTAGGCCTGCCTCGTTTGCTTTTCTTTTAAACCAAATTAACTTAGCTAATAACTTATTTAGCGAGCAACGGAATGCAGATGAATGCAGTTAGCTATGATTGGAGCCAACTGTACAGAGCGGTGCTCGTTTATGGCTCGCTTGAGATAGAATAGGAAAAACTAAAGAAACTCTTAAAGAACTTTATTTAAGCAGTTCGATCTGCGAGAGCTTTAATGCTATGATCTTATAATCAACCCCTAATAACCCCAGCAGCTGAGCAGAAAAGTTAAGCCCCAACAAAAGGTAATCATCACATTTACTTTATGTTCATATATATACAATTTTACATAGCCAGAAGGATACTAAATCGAAGTCAGGACTATATGCATTCAGAAACTAGCTAGACAATAAGGAAACTTCTTGCTTTCTAAAAAAGATAGAAAAGCAAGAGCATCCATTCAATCATGTCTCAAATGTATCATTTCCAAATATTTTCAAATCTGAGTCCGTGCATTTGTCGTGCATGTCGGGATCCTCCTTGGGATAGATGGACGTACTCATGCCGTCTGCGGTGATGATGCCAATGCGTATCACACCGCCCGAGCTGCAGTCCTGCCTTATGGCCAGCCGGATGGCTCTTTTGACAACATCGACCGCATCCTCTTGATTCAAGCCCGGCTTAAAGTGCGCCGCCATAAAGCCCTGAATGTAGCTGGAGCCGGAGCCGGCCATGGCGTACCGTTCGGGGACGAGTAGTCCCGATATTGGCACCGTATACACTTGACCGCCCAGCGCCCGATCCCAGCCGGCGACAATGATGCTGGCCAGCAGCAACTTGCGCGTTGAATAGATTTTATTCCGGAATTGTACGGCCGCATCGCGCACCAAACACGACGCATTGCTGACGTTCTGAAAGCCGCACAACGAACTACCGACCGACTCGGCCAGTGTCTGAGTCTGGGCGGCCGAGCCACTGCGACAGCAATAGATATGATCGGTGATCCGAGTTAGCTTATCTGCCGTTCGATTCGAGACGTAGGTACGGCAGCTAGTGCGCGTGTCAGCGCCCAACACAACACCCCCATCGAATTCAGCGGCCAGAATTGTAGTCTATAAGGATTGGATCTACAGATATAGACTTGAATCTATATATATACATTACACTAATTGATTTACTTACGCCACCGTAATAGTCATTTGTGTTCATCGAACACGATTGTGGAATGTGCCTTAGCCGACTACTAATAAAAGAACTAATAAAAAAAAATAAATAAATAAATAAAATAAAAACATTTCTATAAAAGTTACATAAAATCATATGTAAACTTGATTAATGTTGTCTCAACGTAGATATATTAAAATATTAATTATTATTATATATAATTAGTCTTAACTACCCAATTTACTGGAAAATCAAATTTCTCTATGAAATTAATGAAAATAATTAGCTAAAAATTGAATACATTTTAAGTGAATTTATTAAAAATTACATTTTGAAGAATATCTTTTCTCCATATCATAAATATCTAACTAGATCTCTACAAATAAATGTTGAAAAATTCGTAACTAATAATAATTTTGTAAATTCTTTCTGCTTGCAGCTCAAATTGAAATAATTCCATGCAAAGTCTGTGGGGACAAATCATCGGGCGTGCACTACGGCGTTATCACCTGTGAGGGCTGCAAGGGCTTCTTCCGGCGATCGCAGAGCTCCGTGGTGAACTATCAGTGTCCGCGCAACAAGCAATGCGTGGTGGATCGCGTCAATCGGAATCGCTGTCAATACTGTAGACTGCAAAAGTGCCTAAAATTGGGAATGAGTCGTGATGGTATGATGTGCAGGCAGGCCACAGACAAAGAACATTCTAAATATCACACAAATCACTAGCGAAATTCTGTTATTATTGATTATATTTGAAATCTACATAATTTCCATTCTTTTCCTTTCTCTTCTATATTATATTTCTAGCTGTAAAATTCGGCAGAATGTCCAAGAAACAACGCGAGAAGGTCGAGGATGAGGTGCGCTTCCATCGGGCGCAGATGCGAGCGCAGAGCGATGCGGCACCCGATAGTTCGGTCTATGACACACAGACGCCCTCGAGCAGCGATCAGCTGCAGCACACTAATTACAACAGGTGCGGTAATCGATGCATATCTCATATTGATTTCGCAAATTTCGTATCTCTCTAATATGTATCTATGGGTATTTACCCTACTTAAACAGCTACAGCGGCGGCTACTCAAACAACGAGGTCGGCTACGGCAGTCCCTACGGCTATTCGGCATCGGTGACGCCACAGCAGACAATGCAATACGATATATCGGCCGATTATGTGGACAGCACCACATACGAGCCGCGCAGTACAATGATCGATCCCGAATTTATTAGTCATGGTATGGCCTATTGGGTGTTTTGCTATCTAAAGAGCCCTCATTAATCTCTTTCAATTTCTGTCATGTTTCCTTAGCGGATGGCGATATCAACGATGTGCTGATCAAAACCCTGGCGGAGGCGCATGCAAACACAAATACCAAACTGGAATCCGTGCATGACATGTTCCGAAAGCCTCAGGTGTGTAGGAGCAGAGGATTGGGAATTGTAGATTAAATAGGCTTAGAGTTAGAATAGAAAAAAAAAAAAAAAAAAAAAAAAATGGCTAGATAGAAAAGAGAGACAGAGCAATGAGGAGCTGAAAATGGGGAAAGTCAGCTTTACTAATAGACTAGACTTATAATGCCAAAAAAAAAAAAAAAAAAATTAATAGAAACAAGTAAGAACGTTGCAGTCGGGCGTTACCGACTGCGGAATACTCATTCACATCCCATCAACAATTTAGTAGTTAAGTTTCGCTCTAATACTATAGAATATACAGGTTTTTTCCTCACTTTTAGCCAGTTCTTAGAACGAGAAACCGGTAACCTAAATGCAAATTTTGAATTCTTACGCTCAAAAAATGTGGAAATTACAGGGTATTTTTCGATATGCCACGCCCCTAAAGAGGCGTAAAAATTATTTTTTGAGGCATCGATAGAGGAGGCTACAGTAACTCAACTGTCCAAATTTAAAGCTAGTAGCTATTATACTTTAGGAGATATAAACTTTTGCGGTTTGCCACGCCCCCTGTGGGCGGACATATATCCGACAAAACTTTTTGGTCTTGGGTGATTAACCCGAGTATATATACAAAATTTGAGGTCTCTGGCATCAATAGTGTCCAAAATATAGCAGAATATAAAAAATCACTATATCTTCAGGTCCGATTTGCCACGCCCCTAATGGGCCTAGGCTTATAATTTTGTCTTCAGACTTTAAAGAATCATAGCATTAGCTAACGTGCAAAATTTCAGCATCCTAGGTTTACAACTTTAGGAGATACAGTTTTATCCGATTTGCCACGCCCCCAATGGGCGGAGATATATCCGCCATAGCTCGTGGTCTTGGGTGGTCAATGCGGATCTATATTCCAAATTTCAGCTTTCTAGCTCTTTAACTAACATGATTTCTGGTATATCGGAAAATGCATTTTCCGATTTGCCACGCCCCTAGTGGGCGGATCGGGAAAATTTTAACACTTTATAAATCGGAGATATACACGAGTATGTGTTCCAAATTTCAAGTCTCTAGCTTCAATAGCGCCGAAATAGATTGCGTTCATACGGACAGACGGACAGACGGACGGACGGACAGACGGACAGACGGACAGACGGACGGACAGCAAGACGGACATTGCACAAAACCAATATACTGATTCACTTTCGTGAATGAGTATAAAAATTGCTGAGAACCGAATTAGAATATTCGCTGAGCAAGAGGAGTTAGAATATGCTGATAGAGTAGGCAGATGATATTAATAGGTCTACTTGTATATAAATATATACGACCTGCTCAGTCTTAAAACAGTTTAGTTATAGTTCCGAGCTACTAAGCATTGTGAACTGCCAAATTAAAATATTTAAGCGAATCAAAAGAATTTTTAAAGGCAGTCAATTTATATTTAGAAGGACTATGCCCAAATACAAATTTAAAAAATAAATAAATAAATAAATCCAAATATTTTTGGCTTTATTTATATATAAAATATACAGGAAAGAAATGAGTCAGAAATAAGATTTTTTAAATGATGAACTTTAGATGAATATTTGTAGTATTAAAATAAACAAAAAGAAATGTATACGTATATATAAATTATATAAATTTTATTTATAATTAGAACAAGCTTAAGTATGTAAATGAAAAAATAATCTAATAGAATATATATGTATATAAAATTTAGGTTTGCTTTGCATTTAGGTTAAATTAACTATGAGAATGAATACAGAAATTAACAAAATGCATTTGATAGGCTATCAAAATTATTTAAACATTTTATTTTATTTTTTAAATAACAAGTTATTTATTTTTAAATGCAGATTCTACTAAACTGCATTAGACAGTCTATCAGCAAGCATTTAAATTTGATTTAAATTATAATTATAATTAAATTTTGATTTTCTTAACAGGATCTATCACGCATACTATATTACAAAAATCTGGGTCAAGAGGATCTCTGGCTGGACTGCGCCGAGAAGCTGACACAAATGATACAGAACATAATCGAATTTGCAAAGCTAATACCGGGCTTCATGCGGCTCAGTCAGGATGATCAGGTAAATTGAGATGTCAAAAACAATGCAAGAGAAATAAAAACTAAAAATTATATATATCAATTATTTTGCAGATATTATTGCTGAAGACGGGCTCCTTTGAGCTGGCGATTGTTCGCATGTCCAGATTGCTAGATCTCTCACAGAACGCAGTGCTCTATGGGGATGTGATGCTGCCCCAGGAGGCGTTCTACACATCCGATTCGGATGAGATGCGTCTGGTGTCGCGCATTTTCCAAACGGCTAAATCGATAGCCGAACTAAAACTGACTGAAACCGAACTGGCGCTATATCAGAGTCTAGTGCTGCTCTGGCCAGGTAGAGTGATCCGAAATTAGATCAAATATAGATACAATTTATATATATGTGTATTTTATAGAACGCAATGGAGTGCGCGGCAATACGGAAATACAGAGGCTTTTCAATCTGAGCATGAATGCAATACGGCAGGAGCTGGAAACGAATCATGCGCCGCTCAAGGGCGATGTGACCGTGCTGGACACGCTTCTCAATAATATACCCAATTTCCGGTTAGCTATATCTCTCTATATATGTAATCGATATCATATTCATAATTCCCTCTCTCTCTCACTCGTGCAGCGATATTTCGATTTTGCATATGGAAGCGTTGAGCAAGTTCAAGCAACAGCATCCGAATGTTGTATTCCCAGCGCTATATAAGGAGCTATTCTCAATAGATTCACAGCAGGATCTAACATAACCAGAACCGATATTTATGGATACGGTGGCAGATGCGGCTGCCGGCTGTCCGCTACAAATATTGGCAACGGCAACGGCAACGGCAACAACGCCCGAGCTGCAGCAGCAGCAGCAGCTCCAGCTGGAGGACTGAAGCGGCAATAGCAACAGCAAAAAGCAACAACCAACAACCAACAACAACAACAACAGCAACAACAACAAACAACAAATAACCAACAACTTTATCATCATTTAAGATAGCATACAACCAAGGATGTGATCCTGGCCGAGGACTCACTTAAAGTAAAAGAGAAAGAGATAGAAAAAAAAATAACAAGCTACAGCAAAACAGTAAACAAAAACAAGAAAATATTTCAAAAATATTATATATACTTTTTTCTAGACAACAACATAAAAACAAAAACAGGCTAAATAAGTAAACCAAGTAATAATAAAATCTATACAAAAATGTAACTCAGTTAATCTTTCGCTTCATAGACAAAATATACAAAAAAAAAAAAAAAAAAAAACAAACAAACAAACAAACAAAAGTCAAAATGCATTTTAGCAAGAAAAACAATATAAAGCAAAAACAAAACAAAACTAAAAAAAAAAGTATAGCAAAGCAAAACCAGTTTTCAGTTAGATGCGTTTTACAACACTGCTAAATAGCCACGCCCCTTAGCCAAGTACTTAAAACAAAACAAAAAGAAAAAACAAAACTAAGAAGAGAAAACGCAGAATTTTCTTGTTTCTATACCAAAATTTTCGAGTATATATATATAGATAAATGTAATTTTTTTTTTTAACTGAGCTCAGCTTGATTTTTATTTTAATGTATCCCAACCCAAAAAAACAAAAAACAAAAACACCGCTCTAACCCTCTAGGTTGTCTCTGCCTTTTGTTGTAAACTAAACAAGTGTATTATATATACAATACATATATATATGATTACATATATATATGCATATGTCTTAAATATTATCATTTTTTATATGATTCTACGTATACATAATGCAAGAAGCAAAAAAGAAAAGCAAAAAATATTATCGAATATCTCGGAAAAATGTGTTCTTATATAATTATATGATTAATGCAATTACAAATATTTACAATTACGTTTACGTTAAATTTAAACAAACAAACAGCAACAACAACAACAACAACACTTACAGCACATACAACAATATTCTGTTAAAGAAGAAAAAACAGTTTTTGAAAACAATTTTTTATGTTCGTACATAAATATATATAGTCTATATATATATATATATATATTATATTTTTTAGCAAGGTAGCAAATCCCAAATTCCGGTTCCAAGGTTTAGTAGATTTAATGAATAAAAAATAAAAAACAAATTACATAAGCATTAACAGACTTTAATAGTTTAGCTAACAAAAAAATGAAAAACAGCAACAAAAATCTTTTGATATACAACATATATATATATATATCTAAAAATATATATATATACATGAAAAAAATTTAATAAATAATAATGTAAAAGGAATGTAAGGCAAGGTAAAAAATGGTATATATATATACATATATATATAATAAAACCTACACACGTAATATCAAGTTACAAGTTTATTGTTTTAAGCAAAATTAATAAAATTATATATATATTAAAAATAAAAACAAAAAAACAACAAGCGAAAAAAATACCAAACAGACTGATGGACCGCACGCCACAAAACCGGACAGCTTAAGCCCTAATCCAGACCCCAACCTGCCCCGCCCCGTCCCGCCCCCACACCCATTTAGCCCCTTACAAGGAAAACCTTAAAAAATTAAAGACAAACGCAAATTGGTTTTAAAAGAATTTTTATATACATATTTTTTGCAAACCTTTGTTTATTTTTTTAATTTTTATTTTTTACATCTTTTCAAAATAAACGACTGACTACACAAAGACGTTACACACACACACACACACACACACACATACATACACACACATTACATAAGTTAAGCTAGTTGAGGTTTAAGAAGAAGAAGAACAACAACAACCACACATTGGATAGTAGGTGATAATTGGTGTGTCTTAAATGCCCTAACATTTCCCCAGCTCCCAAATTATAAAACAAAAAAATCAAAAAATTTTTGTACTAAATTGCAAAAGAATTTCATTTTTGATATTCCTCAAATTCTCCCACAGGCAGGCATATTATTAAATAAACTAATTATAAACAATAAAAACTATCATTAAATGTATGAAAAGGAAAATAATACAAGAAGCAAAAAAACTTTAAATATATACTAAATAAATTACCAATTTTGCAAATTCCACAATTTCATATAATTTTTCTATTTCTGTTTCTTTTTTTTTTGCGTTTTTCTGAATATTTTTTTTCGGTTTTGAGAAAAATTGCGTTTGACATTTTGGCCTTAAATTGAAAATTAAAAAAATAAATAAATAAAACGTAAAGTAAAAACAAAATACTTTATATATACAACACATATATACATGCATATATATATAAATATATGTATATATGTACATAGCGTAAATAATTTAGTTATAATTTATACAAAGCAAGGGAGCAGCTTTCAAATGGCAAACTTTATGCAAAAAAAAAAAAAATTAAAATAAAATAAAATAAAAAATTAAACAAAAATTGATTGTTAAAAAGGAAAACTCAAAAAAGGAAGAACAAGAAAAAAGAACATGTTGAGTTGCGGTAACAATACAAAAAAGTATCTATATATAATATATATACAAGAAATAAAAATATATATATTGTTAAATTTTTATGCTAAGTTTTTAGTGCAAAGAATAAAACAAAAACAAAAAATGAAAATGGTTAAATTTTTAAATAAAACATTAAAACTGAAAGTGGAGAAGAAAAAAAAAAAAACAAACAAAAATGAAACACGAGTAAATCTAAATTTAAATTTAGCATATAACGGCATATTCATATGTTACAATATTTACACTTTAAAAACGGAAAGAAGATGGCAGCAGAGTAATAAAAACAATTCCCTCATATAAACCATGAAAGAAAAGAGAAGAAAATAAAATAAGAAAACTGAAATTATATACAAAAACATGAGGACATGAAAACTTATATGAAAAAAAGGAGCTGAATTCATTCATGATATATTATTAAGTGTAGCCGTAGTCTGACTGTTGCACATGGCATATATATACATACACACACACACATACATAAACACACACACACACACACTTAGAACTGGAAGCCCCAAGCTGAGTATACTTTGTGCCACAAAAATCGAAAGCAATATCAGGCATATGGTCTCCGGTACAGTATGCACTGCCTATGCTAACAGGAGCTCCACTGTATCAAGGACGAAGGCAGCTACAAGCAAGGCCAGCGCTCATAGGCAGCGCACACTGTACTGATAGCTCAGTTATTTTGTCAGTTGTCCACACATTTCTCTGCTAGCATATTTTACTACTCAATACACACTTCGATACACCGACACACACACAGATACTATCTCACTACAGGCACAACAGCTCAACATGTTTCCTGCACAACGCGGCGTATGCGGAATATATTCCTTGTGTTTTCTTTTTGCAGTTCATTTTGCCGTCTATTTTTGGTCTCTGCTATTTGTATTCTCACCTGCATGATATATATACATATATGTATATATATATAGATACATACATATATCGTTTGGTTTTTAAACAGAATTCCTATTTCTTTTTCTGTTACAATTTAATGTTTTTTTAAATGCTTTTTTCAGACGCGTGCATAAATAAAACATCCAAAAAAATTCAAACACACACACACACACACACAACAGACACCAAGGCACACAGCAATACGATTTAATATTTATTGCGCAGTTGTAAACAATTCGTTTCTTTGTTATATAAGGCAAATAAAAAAAGAAAAAAAAACACGCAGTTTTGGCAGAAAATAATAATAATAAAACACCTCGAAAAAAAGAAACATTTAGACAAATTCAAAATTGAAAAGTTGCACTGAGAACCAGATTTTTATGCCCAGGAAACTTTTTTTTAACAGGGCAGAAAAAAATGATAGAAAAAAAGAGACAGAGAAATGCAGCTAAAAATGAAAAACAAAGCAAAATAACATAAGAGCATAAACAATAAAGAGAAGCGTATATATATGTATGTATACATATGTATATGTATATATATATATATATATATATATATATATATATATTTAAGTATATACACATAACGTATAGAATCGTTTTTTATATGCTTACATAATTTAGTTTAACTAGATGAATTCGTTTTTTATATATTTGTAAATTGTTTTCTAGGTAAATCGAATTATATAAATCTCTATATATGAATATATATATGTTTGTATATATATAACATATATATGAGATGTGTATATTATATATCATACTGCATTATTACAATTATTATTATGATTATTACGATTATTATTAAATTATATAAAGAACAAGAAAACCCAATCACCACACAAACAAAAATTCATGAAATCCAGAGATAAACGAAGTTGAAAGACAACTTTAAAGAATGAGACAAAAACGCAGGCAAACTAAAAAGTGAAAGAAAAAAAAAATGATATGAAATGGAAAAAAAAAAATTACAAAACAAAAACTAAATAATTCAATTCATTCTTAACAATAAAATGTAATCTGAATTATACAAAGAAACAAAAAACAAGAAAAAAGAAAACTTTTCAAGGAAAATATGGGCGGAAAATGGTGGGTGAGAATCACAGCAGCCGCAGTTCTTGCAGAACGAAATCCCTTTAAATTTACCGCGACTACTGCTCGACGCTTTCTGTGCCCAGTGCAGATGGGTATAGGGTATTATGGTAAGAAATTGTTTGCTGCAGATAGGCGAAGGCTTGTTAGATAGACCATGAAGGTTAAAGGATTCATTGGAAAGATCTATGTAGTAGAGTTTATAGAGAAAAGTGCAAAAAGGTTTATAGAGAAGGATCTGTAGAACAGGAGATCAATGCAAAGAATCTGAGCTGATATAGCTATGTCCAGTTGATCGACACTATGTCTGCCCTCTCTGTAATGCACAGAAGCTGAAGATTGGAGACTTTATATATGTCATAAGCCCTACGAGCCTAGCGTAGTTCAATAACTGATCGCTGTTTCTTATAATCCATCAATATCGATCAGTTGATTTCGAATTTTAAGCGTATATTTGATGTATATG